CAGGATGCACGATGAGAGGCTGTAACATTAGTCGTTTCCTGCATGCAGCTCATTGGGATGCAAGGGCAGTGCTGGCAGAGTAAACTGCGCCTTGGCAGAGATGCTGAGCAGTGGTGGTGCTGCTGCTGCTGCAGGGACATGACAGCTACAGTCTTCCCAGCCATAAATCCCCCCACACTCCGCAGGGCACACAGCCACACCTGTGTATTAAGTTGAAAGATAGCTAAATTCAATCCGCCCCGTCGTGCCATAACAGTGGGTGAACTTGGTCGGGTGTAAGACATTTGTGCTGTTTCATCAACAGCCCATTATTTATTATGGGTGGCTTTTTTTTCAGATGCTCAGGAGAGGGGGTAAGTCACTCAGTCTCCACAGAGTCTGAACCCAATTATGCCACCTACTTCACTTGTCCCACTCAAAATCAAAGCAGTTTGCTCAAAGCCCAATCCAAAGCTTTTCTAACTATGTCAGTCACTGATATAAGAATGTAATATCCTGAATAGACTATGATGAATGTCAAGCTTTTCTCTTTTTTTTCCTTCTTCAAAATAAAACAATCAATCACTGACGAATTTATGGATTGTACTTAATTGTTCATGGCGCCTGTTGATATCAACCACTTGCTGCTGCGGATCAGGACAGGAGGAAAACAGCTTCCTTCAGCTGCTTGCTCCTTTCATTCTGCTCCCCAGCTCAGTGTGATATGACTTTGATTGTCTACTTGCAATTTACCCAGCAACTGCCAGCTCTCTGTCTTCGCCACATCTCATACAGACCTCTTCTCAGATCTCAATGGATTGCCTAGCAACCTTTTTCCTCAGTACAAATACCAATCCGTGCAATACGCAGCGCGTGGTGACCAATATAATTATCATGCAAGGGAGGCTGACCAGAGACGCAACACCTTAAGACACAATGTAGTTATAAATATCCCTAAAGACATATGCCGCACCAACTAGACATTTGATAGAAATAATAATGATTGATGTCAGTATGTTTTCATGAATGTCTGTCTACGTCATTTCTAGCTCCATTATACCTTGCATGAATTATCAGAGCCACTTCTGGTTATTCCTTTTGCTGCAGCAGTGAGCAGCCTGCTACAGGTGTCGTGCTTTTACTCATAGATGTTTGGGGAAATGAATGATGTGGGAACACAATCTGTCACACCTGAAACGTAGTATGTGAGTCAGCGTTAAGGTAAATAATATATGTGTGCAGCAAGATGTTGGAGATGTTCCACCAGTCTGTTGTGGCCAGTGCACTGGACTTCGCCGTAGTCTGCTGGGGGAGCAGCACTGGAGCCGGAGACACCAACAGACTTAATAAACTCCATCATTGGCTGCAAACAAGACTATCTGGAACAGGTGGTAGAGAGGAGGACACTAAAGAAACTATTATCCATATTGGATAACCCGGACCACCCTCTCCACCACCTACTGCAGGGACAGCGGAGCACTTTCTCCAACAGACTGATCCAGCTCCGCTGTCACAAGGACTGATAGAGGAAAACATTCCTGCCCTCTGCTATTAGACTCTATAATAAATCACCTCTGGCCAGATCATCCTTCAAATGACAACACCGCTACATGGTTGTTGCCGCTGTTGGCCTTCTTTTGCACTACTGTTTAGTTTAGTTTTCCTACTTAGTTAATTTAATACCATTCTATTTTATTGTATATACTGTGCATTTTTTCTGCATTTTGTATTACTTAATGTTCTATAAATGAATAGGTTCTGTTATTTTATTGTATTGTATATATTATGCATTTTCCATACTTCACATTTTTATTTTACTGTGTAACTTCGTTTGCTGCTGCTACAGACAAATTTGCCCCTGGGGATGAATAAAGTATCTATCTATATCTATGTATCTATGTATCTATCTATCTATATTTAGGAAAAGATCCTCGAAGCAAGCCGACCCAATTGTCATCTAAACTGCAGCTGAATGTGAATCTGGATTAAATACATGGGATGGGCCTTGATGAAGAATTGTCACATTATAGGGCACTGCAACTATAATCCTGACGTGAGCAGAACAAGTGAGTGACATTCAGCCTTTAATAGAAACCACACATTACAATACCAGCTTAACTACAGCTCTATTTATCATAATTGATTTGTGTTTTCAACGCTGACTGTGGCATTGAGGCAGATGGATTCTGAAACTATTTCAATAGCAGCCATTAACTATGCATCATCCTGGCTTTCAGGTCTCAGCTACGAGAGAAGAGTGGCTGAAACAGCTGTAATACATTGTTGTTTTTTGTCTTTTCTATTTTGAAAGGAGGCTGGGCAGTCTCTTTCACCACAGCTAGTACCAAATGTGCTTTCAGTCAAGCATCATCCTGCACTGACCCTGTTCTTAGTGCGTCAACATGTCTTTTTCCAATTGTCTTTTGTTGAAGCCCCATTACAGGAAATCAGTGGAATCAATGAAAAGCCTCTGTTGCTTATTGGATTTAGATATTAAACCTTCATCCAATAATACTGACATCCTCATGTGAATTGTGTATTATTATTTCAAAAGATGAAGATGTATTTTGTATTAGGATTTTGTTTCTGCATAATGACAATGGGTAAGGGACTGAACCAAACTTATTGGAGGGTGAGAGGTTGTTGGAAACGGGAGAGGGTGTTTTAATTTCTATTTTGATTGGAGGTAGGGCAGTTAGGAGAGCAGGGGGTGAATCTTACATTTTATTCATCCTAAATTCATACTTTATTTTAACCTTCCTCTAATATTTACATCAATTATTAAATCAAAAAGACAGTTGTCACCAGTTCACCACAAAGGACAGCAATTCTGTCTCTGTATGAAGGTCTTATTAATGTCTACATTGTGGCGCTCATTAGTAGTTCTATAAAGACATTATGGTTTTAATTGTGGTACACAATGAAGCGAATTCTACAAATGTTACATTATTTTATAATTATGTGGGGAGGGTGTTTTCAAAGGGTGGGTTCAAAGAACATGCTAATAACCCTGTGAAGCGACTTGCTTTTATTTACAAAGCCCCCCTCCTCACCTCAATCATTTATATATGATGACACTACTGAGTAGATTACTGGTTATACAGGGATAGGCATCTCTTCCCATCCCATTGCAGCATAATGGCCTATACTCAAAGATAGTGTTAATGTATTAACTAGAGGATTCGGTGAATGAATATGAATGTGGGAGTTACAGAACTTTTCAATTTGCTGATTAAAGCTACTTTAAAACCAGACAAACAGAAGTATGAGTCACTGGGAGCGCTAAGAAGCCGCCACACCTTTGACTCTGTTAGTCGATTGCCTTGTGATTCAAGAGACAGTTTAAAAATAAACTAGCAGCACCATTGTCATAGCGAGCTTGTGAGATGCTAAAGGTAATCGCAAAGTGTGGGCATAGCAGCAATAAAGCTCCCAGGGGAAATCAAGCGCTTTCACAGCTGCCCTGCCCGCCAGCAGTTGCAACACAACTCCAAAATGACACGGACAAAGACAGACAGAAACTTGAGCTTGACCTTAAATCGAAATACTTCAAATACACCAGAAACTCGTGGATGAGACAAAGCCGCATGTTTCCAGATAAATACACCGCTGCCTGAAGTGCAGCCGAACATGAAAGCGTCTATGGTTTTGCCCTCCAAGTTTGATATGAACCGTACATCTGTTAAGAGTTTTAAAAAATAAACATTGCAACTTGTTTTGTGTTATGCCAACTGCTCTGCATTCGTGAGAGGAATATAGGTTAGACTATGCCAAGAGCAAAAACATCTGGCCCGGTTTTATTGGATTTTATCATCATTTAAGAAAACAGTACAGAGTTACTGTATATGAATCACACAGTTGTTTGGAGGGAAGAGAAAGTACATAAAATGAAGGAACTATCCTGATTTTTTACACTTTTTCTACCCTATAGTTTATTGTGCTTTTTTTTTACGAGTCTTGTAAATGTAGAAAGCTCTCTTGATGACGTCCTGAATCCCACAGAAATAAGATCACTTGAGGAAATCAATGAAACAGAACGAGGGATGAGAAGGTTTTAAGCCCACGTAATATAAGTGTTACATTGTCTGGCTTACTTTGACAGCTCTGAAGAGGGAGAAAATAGCTTGTGTCTGCTTTCCTAAAAAGTGCCAACAGATTGTCAGGAAGACCAATATGTTGTCCAAATAGATAAAATGTCAAGTGAATAATAAACCATAAAACATCTCTTGGCATTACCATGACACTTTGTATTTCCGTAAATTAAGCCAATGATTGAATTGTATATTAATAACAGTCAGTCAGCCACCATAAGGTGCACCGAGCTTGTTGTTCCTTCACTGTACAGGCTTGGACATGGTCCTTTAAAAAAATATTTCAGTGACCCTCTGACTTGAGTGCTCATGCACAAAACTGTGAACAGTTATGTATTTGTTTCTGGGCTATTTCAGTCGATGTTTGATTACAGGTTGAATCGTTTCAAGGCTCCAGATGACAGCATTTCTCTATTCGAACGCCTTTTTTCCAAAAGCCATCTTGCGACCTGTAAAATCATCGAGCAACCCTCCTGGTTTAGGCAAACTCCAGGACAAACATATCTTGTACTTCTCTTGTGTTTCCATGAGTCACACAGTGGATTTAAGACGTGCTGTGGGTGATAATTATATTCTTATTTTGTGGATGAAGTTGAAGAGACAGAACTGCTCCAGAAGTGGTTATTTATTGAAGCATCACGAGCCTGTTTGTGTAAATGCATGTGAACACGTATGTCTCAATGCTATTCTGTTGCATCTGCCACTCCTCCCTGTCCCGACTCTCTCACTCAACGCTCTTCTGAACACTTGAAGTGAGTGCAGTATGTGCAGTCTATCAGCGTCGTTAAACTGTTCCACATGTGCGGCTACAGAGCAGTTAATCCTCCAGCAGCGTGAATCTGTCATGTGTCAGAACGTGTTGTCATAAGCAGATATATCTTCTGCACTGACGATTTTTTTTTCTTCTTTTTCACAGAGGAACACCAGGCGGAGCATTTACAAAATGTCTGTTATTAGGGGATCATTGAAAATCTGACATACAAGTGTGCAATTGTACACAATCAATATGTCATTCATTTATGACAATGATGTTGGATGACTGGTTTTATACAATCAGCATTGAAATATTCAGATTACAGCTTATCCATGACTGTAGATGGACACAGGTTTGATAATGATCTTGAAATATGATGGAATATTGTACATCTCTGGACACATTATGTCCCCTCCCGCCCCAGAAAAACCCAAGGAAAATAACATTTCTATAAAAAAAATAGAATAAAAACAAATATTTAATAAATATATAATGTTTAAAGGACAATTTAATTTATGTCACACGTTCAAAAGCATTTTATTTGCTCAAAAAAAAAAATAAACCACTAAGCGAAATAGAATTGACCGCTTGCTAAGCCCCTAGTACTGTTGCTATGCCTGTCAAGCCTTCTGTTCTCGCACAGCGTTATGAAACCACCTGGGAAAATTTACCAATCAAAATTAATAGTCATACTGTTGATTTTTCCAGCTGAACTGACAACTAATGCTGGCAGATTGTATCACCTGTAGCTAGCTATAGCTAATTAAGCTGCAAAATGAAACATTTGCTCCGATAATCTGCATCCTCACCAGTTTATAAGAGAACATGGAAATAAAGAACCAGTATTGTTCTTGTATTGCAGTGTGGCGCAAGTTAGTAGTCTTAGCTATACTAGTGTAGGTAGCTCCTATGTATGATGACAGTTTCATACATTTTTATTTTGTTTGTTTCTATTTCTGCTTAGCTTACACATGGACAAGTAAGGCAGAGGTTACGTTTATGCTTTATTGTTTGTATGTTTGAAAATGATGTTTCACTTTTAACATTACAAGAGAAAAAAGGGTTTTACCAGGACAGACAGGTGCGTTTGTGTAATGCTGTCTCTGGTAGTGAGTTTCGACAGATTGTAAACGTCCAAAAATCCAAAAGCACAACAAGAGCAGGACAGAGCTGCTAAAATTGCCCCACTCTGATGTATTAGCCATGCAGTGGGGACATGTGAAAGGCGCTTTTGTTTAACGTAACCTGTAACCCAACAAAATGCAGTGAAACTACAATGAAATGCTCCTTGGCCTTGGACATAATGGTATAGGCATAAGCTATTGGGTTTATCAATGATTGCAGCTTACACAAGAGCAAACAAACAGTTTAATCCAATTTATAAACTTTTTCTCTTGTGTTTATGGTTCTGGATAGGCTAGATAAAAAGACAGAACCCTCTTATAGCTCCATGTGCAACATTTCAACACGTGGAGATAGCTTGACAGGCCTGCTGCACCTTGTCATGGTTGCTTAACTATGACTGGACAATTTCTGTTCAGGGGCGTTGTTTAACTAACGGTCAATTCCCAGCTGACACACGTTCCAATTATATTACATTTAGCTTTCCCCAGTTCCATGGCACACTACTTGTGTGTGAAGAACACAGAGCTGCTGTCTATTAATACCCAGGACCTTAATTGGGTATTGTTTTGTACACAAGTGGTCCTTTCCCGTAAGCAACATAAAAGTCCGTGAGGGACTGAGAGAGAGAGAGAGAGAGTGGAGTATATACTTCAGATAACGGTCACACACAGTCACAGGAGGAGAGAAAAGCAAGTGAAAGTTACCATCAGGGTCTTGATCGCTAAGGCAAAAAAAACAGCACGCATGATTATTTATCAGTCTTGCCTTAAGCGCTGGGCTCTTCAGTCTTAACCACCTACGCAGCTGTTTAAGTACAGCAGACAGTTGGTCAGGTTAATACCTCTGATCTTGATGAATGACACTGTTACTGGTCATTTACCACAGGTTATTTTACCATATATTATAATGTAACATCTTGTAAAAAGCACACACATGTAGATATATGAGTGCACAATCAGATAATTGGTTGAAGGACACATTTCAAAAACAAAAACAAACAAAAAACCATTAACTACAAGAGTGATTTAAATGCACGGTGAAAAGAAATATCCGAACATCCCAGTGCACCGAGATCTGTTGTTTATTTTTCATCTGTTTATTTCTCATTAAATTAATTATAACGTGATCAACATCCCAAATCATTAGGGAAATCAAAAGTCACCATGTAAATTATGCTTACTGCCGGCAAGATGTGTAGGCTGTACATTTTATATGACAATTACTGTCCGTTATTTTCTGACTTGTTCCTCTCGTCTTGGGTAATTTCATTTGGGTTGCTCATTTCTTTGAGATGAAAAACGCCACGGGGACGCGAGTTAGAGAGAGAGACCTCTGATTGACAGTGTGATCAGAAAAAGCAGCCGAAAACCTGTAAGCTTGGCTGATCTTTCATTTGTTCTGCTACTCAACTGCTTATCATGCTGTTTCCCTGCTAATAGCATTTTGCATTTGATTACTTTACCTGACGCAGCAGAGAGCAGATGAGGAGCAGTCGAGGAAATATGTTTAATAAGATTAACAAATCATTAAATTATTAGCCTTAATACTCCTCAAGAGGCAGAGCAGAACGTGGAAAGTCATGCTGCTGCTCAGCCTCCTTTGCTAATTGAGGTCATTGAAAGTCAGGTAGGTCAGAAGCTCACTAATCAATACTGCTGCACTCCTTTATTTCCACCGAGAAATATTTCCACTTTCATTACTCTGGGTCTAGGATGCTCTGCAATAGATTTGTCTCCTTTGCTTCTTTACCAGACCCAGTTCCCTCCCACACAGCTTTGTGTTTCATCTGAGTGGTCCACTGATTCTGTGCAGTAGACATACAGGAGTTTGGACACAGAGCCTCACAGTGTGCACAGCTCAGTGGTGGTGGGGGTGGTTCTAGGGGCAAGGCAGCGCAGGCTCGGAGGGGAGGGGAGCCATTATGCCCGGGCGGTACTTGGCTGGCCGCGGACCTTCCAGCGCCTGAGTTGGGGGCTCCATGCCCACGTTGAGGTGCAGCGACAGGTGGGCATGGCAGTAATCCAGAACCGACTGCTCATACCTGTACAACGTCAGAGCACTCAGCTGCCTCGGTATCTAGACAGAAACAGAAAGCAGAAAAGAGAAAGGAGAGAAAAAGAGAGTCACGGGTAAGCTTTCTAAATCGGCCAAAAAAAGCCTCTGTTTCAACACTTTTATCTGCTCTTAGAATATTTGGAATTGGCTTAATTTACTTCATGCGGTTGTGGCACAGCGTCATCATTAATACAGCCTAGGCAGCTGATACAGTGTGCGCGCCCCAAGACCTGAAAAATCTGTGGTGCTCAAAGACCCAGTTTCAGCTGGAGTGATTTATATGCAAGATGAAAGCCTTAAGCAAGAGTGCACACATATTTTTTGCCCTCTTTTAAATGGAGTCAAGGTTCCATTTAGAAGAGAGTGCTTATTACATTACAAGCACTTTGCTGATTCAAAGACCCCTCTTAGTTTTACGTGTTGCTGTGGTCTGAATTATGTCAATTAAATGGAATAAAGCTGCATCGTGGCCTGTGCAATATTGATATTAATGCCGTAATGTCTATTAATGCTTTCACACAAAATATGAATGCACTCCCATTCTGCATTTTGAAATGCACAAAGCAACACAATGCAGTGTATAGAAGCATGGCAGGTAATGCAGAGCACATGCAGCACTTGATTTCACACGGAGACATACACTGACGTTGAAAAGTTTGGAATCACCCGTATATTGTTTTTGTTCTTTATACGTTACACTAATATTGATGTTTCCTTTGACTCCCAAGTACCCTTTGATTTCCAAGTACAGAGCATATCTATGATTGAGGGATTTTCTCCATGCGGCTCTCAGCCGGTGGCTAGCAGCTAACAGCACGAACAATGCAAACAACAGTAACAGTGCTGACAGAGCTGACAGTGTTGACCTGGGGGGAATTTCCACTACAATGGTGTCGGGCGTTATAAGCGGTAACCGCCGAATGCGTACAATGCAGAGCGGCGGCCATGAGCTAGCTAGTGGGGCATTCTCACAGAGACTCACATGCACGCCTCACCGGCCCGGCTCTGTAAACGAAGCATAGAGACGCTCGGACTTCAACACACAGAGAGAGAGCGACTTCATTCTCTGCTCAGGTAGACATTACTCCAATATATCAAAGTAAATTGTTGTTTGCTGATATATAATTGCTCTGAATTTCAAATGACCTTTAACAGTCTTATTCTGAGCAATTAAGTATTCCCATTTTCAAACACTGCATATTGAACTTCACTATGTGCAGCTTAATACATGAACATACTGTTAAAACTAATGTTGTTTATTGTTCGTTAAACCATTTGTTCCGAATTTTTACTGTAAAATCCCACAAGCTGCAGTATTCACAGTGCCAGCCTGAAAAATCACTGTAATATGAGTTGTGGGCATAAAACCTATTGTAAAATATGTTAGATTGGATTACTTTATTGAATCATGAAGCTGATTTGATGCAGAAATGGCTTTTAGTTTTAAGTTTTCTCTGTATCTGGTTAGGTCAAGTTTCACAGCCCCGAGACCATTCAGACGCTTGAATTTAAGATCATAGCTTTCCAAAGGTTATGTTTTCCTTTCATGAAATGATCTGGCTCTGTTTGCTCTCCGCTTTAATAAGAAGATTAGTTGAAAACACTCGATTGTCTAATTCAACAGCTGAACTTTGCACACTACTTCAGAGGCCTTAATAAAAAAATGCATGAACAACAATGCTCAGAATACAAAATGAGCTACAGAGAATCTGAATCTGGGAGGTCTCGGTAAAAATTGTCACGGGGAAAGACTTGTTTTCTCCAATTATTGAAATAGAGTCAAACATGTAAGAGCAGTCATTATAAATTTGGTCGGTTGGCTGGTTGAACCAATAGCCCTCTCTCTGTGTGTACAGCAGTAGTTGGCAGAGCGCTTACAACCTTTGTCTCTTCAACATCTCTTTCCTCCTCTGTTTGACTTTTGCATTGTTAGTTTATCCGGGCTAAAAACCAAAGGTGCCATAAAATAAACTGAGCTGCAGTTACTGAGACAAGATTTTTTTGGCTTCCATCTACAGATCTCAATCCATCCCTTCAATACATAAATAAGTCTTTGAAAAGATATATAGGTCTCCTCACTATAAACAGTATGGACAGTCCAGACAGCACGAAAAGACTTAAAATAGAAAGCGTATGACCTCCTAAACAGTTACAATAAATCACATAGCCTTTGTTTTGCACCAAAATAGCATTTTGGGGTTTTTGACGGATTTGTGTCATTCATAATAATCAGAATAGCAAGAAAATGCAATGCAACGGTTTAACTGTGGCTGCCTGTTTGTTGTGTCAGGTTATTTCTGCTGCTCAAACATATATTCTGCTTGGCATCACTGTGCAGATTGATTTAAACCTTCTCAAAGAAGCTGACACAAGTAGCTCTTCCTTTTTTTAAAAAAAACATTATCTTCAGTCTGTGGCAGATGCATCAACGTCAAGGTTTTTGTCTCAGTATGCAATGTGCTGTTTGGAATTGGACCTATTTAAAAACACAAAGAAATGAAAAATACTTTATGTGTGTGATATACATTAACCGTAACATTCACAAATGACACGGCAGAGATTTCACATGCTGCCAATGTCAAACTCATTTTTCCTCTCGCCCAGGAGGTCTAGTGTGATGCAACACGTGTGGTAATGCTTCGGCCTGGACTTTGTGCTGTCAGAGTTGTGACATCTCTCAGCGAGAAGTGGAGTCACTGAATCCCATTTCCAAAATAACATGCATGCACATTTTTTTATTCGTCTATCCAATCAAACCTCACATTGACATGTAGAGATACACACATACACACAAATACACCATGATATCCCCCCCTGGCAAGTTTCTTAAAATACCACACTGTATCACGACCCTGTTCTGTTTTTTTTTTTGCCTCCTCCTCAACACTTTAGTCAGTTGCTACCTTTTCCAGCAGTTTGCTTGAACTGTCACCTACTGTAGCTTACATAATGTGCACTCTTACTCTGAAGCTCACTAAGTTGCAGTCACATTTTTTGTTAACAGAAGCCTCCCACCGTAAAATAAAATATTATTTTATTTATGAAATAAAGTATATTTTTAATTCATGGGGTCTTCAATGTTTAATAAGGTCCTCTTCAGTTCATTGACAGCTGAGGGTGGTATATCTGGAACTTTTCTCTCTTAGAAGTAGAACTGACATAGAAACATTTGAGCCCACATGACATGCTCCAGATCAGCCTTCTAAAGCCACACTTCACAAAATCTTAATTCACTGTGTGAATTCATTACAGTGGCTGTGCTACTGACACTAAAAAGAGACAGAAACATCACTGAGTTTGTAACTCTTCAACACTCGTCATTGCAAATGGATTTCATTCACTGCTTCACTCAAAAAGTGAGTGAAGCAGTGAGATGTGAAATAGCAAGATTTCACACTTACAGTAGGAATCGTTCAAATGACATTTCCCTAAATGTGCTCTGCTCTGTTGTATATTTTGGTGCACTCTCCTATATTCTATTTAATAAGACAAAAGAGGCTTTGAGAATGGAAAAACAATGCAGCGGGCTGCGACGGTCGAGGTGAGAAAATGAAGACGTCCAGGAAGTCCAGTTTGATTAACATCTGTGAATTTGAAGGCCATGCATGCAAAATGAGGAGTAACATTTCGTAGTATATCATACGAACCATTGTATGACGATACGTTGCACTGCACAGTGTTTTGTAATGCTAACAAGGGCATAATGTTTAACAGGTTGATGATAGGAATGTCATCAGTTCTTTAGGTATTTGGCCGTACACATATTGGACAAATAAGAGTTTTGACCTGATATTGGGGTCAAAACAAAAGATCGAGGATCACTAAAGTGTTAACAATTCATATTGAGGGGAACGTTGAATGTGTGTTCCAAATTTCATGGACATACAAAGAATATTAGTAAAGACATTTCACTAAAAATCCCAAACGTGAACCTCATGTGGAGTCAGGGGATCACAAAAGTCAGTAGAATTCACCCATGAATGTCTGTACCATAATTTCCTTGAAATCTATATCAACAAACAACAAACAGAGCCAGGCTACGTGGCTACAACAGGTTACAAAGTGTCTAAAATGATGAGTGCTGAAGCAGCACAGATACGGATGACTAATGTGCCTGTTTGTATATTTGGGGTATAGAGAGTTGGTCTACCAAAAGGTCACATTTTAGATTTCAACAACATCATTGTTGTCTTTCAATTAGCCAACCAGTTATTAGGACCTCTCCAGTGTTTTTGTGAAAGATTTCAAGCAGCTTTTCTATCTCAGTTGTATTCTCTCTGGATAAAAGCATCCACCAATTACTCAATTAGAAAATATAAATGATCAAAACAAAGTCAATTAACTTAATGCCAGCTCTCTTCATTAGTGTGATCAAGTCTCGATGCAGTTAAGAGTCATTAAATTGGAATTAATGTTGTTTAAAATGTTGGCATTGCAAACATTGCATTACAATCATTGTTTGCATATCGTTTAAATATTTACATTTCTGAGGCAGTAAAAACAGGCTCAGTTTCAGGTCTTAGGACAGAAGAAAGAATAAAAGCCTTTTTGGCTAACTGAGCTGAGTGAGCATTCAGGTTTAATCAGGGATATTGAGGAAATGTTGGCTGTTATGGTTGGAGCTCTTTGAGAGGTGACTCATTGGCTAGCATAGCTTGGACAGCTGCCAACAGAGCTGCTTAGGGCTGAAAGCTGCATACAGTCGTATTTTGCCTGAGGCATGATCAGCATCTCTCCTCAACTTTAATGGCTCAGGAAGTCCTTTTCCAATCTAGTTGTGTGACACACAAGCGGATAAATATAAAATGAATTCAAATCTCTTGATTACAATAGCTATCCAAGAATAGCCTTGTTTCCTCTTGACAAGTGTAAGTCGTTATTCAGTGAGTCACTGGCGACTGGCCAAGGCAATAAAGTGGGCATCTGGCATCAGCCCGATCTTGTCCTCACTTTATGTTAACTGTTTAAACTATAGCTCAACCTGTTTACCCTGAGGTGAATTTAAAGAGAACAGAATACAA